GGGGGGGGGGATTTCGCTCGTTCCGACGCGGACAGGGCTAAACTCGCCAGGCAGGACGAACCACAGCCACGCATCCAACGGACCACGCGTGGTGCGGTGCATGACCAGAGAGCTGTTCTGGTTCAGTGTTATTATTATGGAGAAGGTGGCCGGCCTTTGCAGGAGGGAGCGAGACTCACGTCTGGTCATGTTTGTCAATGTACGGAGGTAAGCGTTGTGGCGAAACTGGTTAATTATTAGCATCTTCTGCTGCTCCATCTGCAGCGCTCGCTGCATGGTACGACGGGGCGGCGTCAGCCATCTGAACGTCAGAATCGATGATGATGATGATGATGATGATGATGATAGCTTGTTTAGCCCTCTCCTGTTTCAACAAGACGGGCGGTTCGAGACCACATGGCCGCAAATGGGAAGAGGCCTGGTTTGCTACCTACCTACTGGTAGGTAGGAGGTAGTTTGCAAGGTGGCACGCTTTTTCGTTGGCACGCAATATCCAGTCAACGTTATGGCTGGGTACGGAGTCATGACTAGTACTAACCTGCCAATGAACCAAAAGTCCTTTTTTTTTGCTGGGCTGTTCAAGCGTCCAGCGCTGGCGCAAAAGCTCCACCGTCCACCGCAGCACGCGTCCTCCGGTGGTTCCAGCGAGCGAGCGCCTGTACCTTTTGGGGCGGGGTCTCTGACCTTGCTGCGATGGGAAGGCTTTGTCATGCCGCAAGCAAGAGGCGGGCGAGACGCGTGCGCCAGCTAACGAGGCAACACGCCATCACGGCCCAGATACTTTTCTAACCTATCGTACGTGAACCCGGGCCGTTTTTTTCTTAGATAGGGCAATCCAGTTTAACTAGTAGTCCCGCCCTTGTGAGTGCCACACCGCAGTCGTTGTGGTGCCCTTTTTCTTTTTTTTTTCTGGCGCGCAACTTTTTGGCTGGTCGGTCGCACTCCGTTTTTAGCGGTGCAACTTACAGGGCCCTTTTGCTGCAGCATTACCAGGACGGGACCCTAAAATATTTAGAAAAACCCACCCACCCCAGCATATGTGTACATGCCTCTTCCCTCCGTGGCTGCATTTTTTTTTGGCTCTGCTGTTAGCCGTCAGAGTTTCGCCCATCAGCGGCCCATATTTATCCTCTTTATGATTTCTACACTTGCGTATTAAATTGATTTTTTTTTTTGCTTTTCTTTCGATTTCGGTCATAAACTTTGTTGCCTCGGCGGTCAGCCAGCCAAAGCGTGCTCGCTCCGATCTCCCTCCCCAGCGGAAGCGGATCCCCGCCGGCCGCCGCCGCCGCCGCACAGCGCGGCGCGAAACTTCCCTGCACGGCACATTCACATCATGACATAAAAATGTTACTCCGTACCAGTAGCGCTCTTGTTTCATGCTCCCTTGGTTGTTTGCACACGCTCTTGGGTCCTACAAGCTACGTTCCGTTGGGTCCTGTACTCACATCAACGCCCAAAGCTTACAACAGGTTTTTGCCTCCACGAGGTCCTTGTCGCCTGATGTGCGACATGTGGCCCGCGCCAAACTCGCGCACTGCCAGAGAGACCGCTTCAGAGACCGACTGTTATGAATGAACGGCACAACTCCTCCGTAACTAATTTGTAGACGTCCAGGTCGTAATATAGGTCGGCGGCGGCATAAGCCGTGTCACCGCCGCGCCGCGCCAGCCTCAACATTTCTCGGTCTGCACGTCTGCACCGTTCCCTCTTTGCCTTCAAGACCGGGCGACGCAAGCTGTCCGACGGAGCGCCTCGAATCGAACGCCATCCTCGGGAGACGACATCTAACTAGTTAGCGGACCCTCGCACCGAACCCTTTTGGCAGCTCCCAGCCGACGCTGGCAGCAACAGTCGGCTCCTTGTCACGGCAGAAAGAAAGCAATACAGGTCGGCCATCAGTCCGCAACGAAGAAACCCCGTGCTCTAGCGTGCGCACTCGCTTTCCACATTATGATGCGGATTCCGGCTGGTGGCGCAGTGGTCACTCCTCGTGACGGAGGCGACGTGCGCTCTGCAGCATCAAAGCCCCCCCTGGTCAAGACTGAATGACAGGAGTTTCGGGAATCAGAGTTGCCATGTACGCGCTGCACTGGTGCAGCAACGCCTCCATAATAATTACTAGTTAGCAAAAAGGGTACCAATGTAACTAGTTAGGTGTGGTGTGTGGTGGAGTGTGGTGGTTCAGTTCAGCACAACGAGTTTGACAACTCGGAATTGCTCAGGCAGCACCAGAAGCTAGCCTCTAGGCTCCGCCACAGATGGACGCGAAAGGAGCCCGCCATCAACTCTGCTGATTGTACATAGTAGTATTCGTATGCCTTGAGCAAGTTTGGCGGGGTGGTTGGCTGCTATGTACCCAGTGGGCCGAGTTCTGCAAGGCTCCCGTTTCCTCAATCAGCCCGAGTGCGATAGTTATCTAGTTAGTAATACACTGTACTCCGTAGTTACCCTTTGCGCCCTGCGGACCAGTGCAGGCCGCTGATATGTGGTGCTCTTGTCCTTGCCTAGCAAATAAGACGAACGAGAGCCACCCAAAGGCATGAGGCCCAGCCATATTCTACAAAAATAACGTAGCCTGGCATGGGCCGGAAGAAAAGCCGTGCCCTGCAATATTACTGGCGCTACCGACGGGCCTCAAACGAGTACCAAGTAAGTACCAGTAAGCAGCCATAACTAGTGATACCACCAGCTTCGCCATCTAGTATAGCCTGCAAAGAGTGTCGGTCGACATCTCGTTAATAATATTAGCTTCGGGGCCATCGCTGCACATGAACGGGCTCTCCTCTCTTCTTCGTTCTTGGCGGCGCTGCAGACGCAACCTTATTAGTTACCAGTACCAGTACATACGCCTACCCTGTGCGAGGACACGGGCACGCCGTGCTTGTTGTTCCTCCTCCTCCTCCCATGATGTGGCTTGCTTTTGAGGCGAACCTTTGCCCTCCCGTTACGAGTACGGTGTGCGCGCGCCTCATACGGGGAGCAAGTTGCGATTTCGGTCCTGCAACACAAATCGAGATGAACGTGTTCCATATCTGGCTGCCACTCTCCAGAGCAAGCCGGTATGCATGTGAGACCTGGTGCCCG